CGGTGCTTTCCTCTGGTGCCCTGGGATGGCTTTTCCTGCCAAACCCTCTGCTAAGCTACGTGTCCCTGCAAGCAAACGCTTCGGCTCGGTTTAACTGAGCCGCGCCAGCCCCGAGCACCCAACCGTCACAGCTCCCCGCTCGGAAATGGTGACACCGGTGGAAGCATGACAAGTGCTGCAGTTGTGAATGCTGCTGCCAGAGGACTCATCGTTATTCCCATCCATTCCTTCCCAGGATTAAAGCCTCCAAACTCCTCTCACCACTACAGCCCGCCCTCCCCAAGGGGAGCAGGTTGGATGTGATCGTGGGAGCCGAGGCTTTAAGAAAAGCAGCCCCCCTGTCACAAGAGGTGGCCAACGGTGTTCAGAGAGCAAACCGGGTGGGTATTTACTGGGAGACAGGTACCTTGAGAATACTCACTGCGAGGGCAGCGTTCTTCTGCAGCTTGTTGTAGGGGCTGTACTTGGGCTTGGGCGGCTTCCCTGCCAGCCTGTCTTTGTGCCTCCGGCTGCTCATGTGCTGCGAGAGGAAAACAGCCCCGTCACCCGGTGCCAGGACAGCGAGGGCAGACCCACGGCACCGCGCGGCTCGGGTCCACCCATCACCTTCTCACGAGTACCCATCCCCCCGAGCCCCCGGTGCCCGTGCAGGGTGGTCCGCACGCCCGGTGCCCCTGTGTTCCTGGGGGAAAGGCAGGCGCCAGGCCTGGCATCGTCACCTGCTTGAGCTGCGTCTCTGAGTTCACGTAGATCTCGCACACTTGGCAGTGAAACGCCTTGTTCTGGATGTTGATGCTGCCCTTGTTGCCGATCCGCTTGGCCTTGTGCCCTGCCCGGGACAGGAGCTTGCCACGGCCTCGCCGCACCTGGGTGCTATGGCCTTCCAGCATCAACTTGTGCTTGGCACCTGGGTGGCACAGGGGACACTCGGCAAACACTGACTTTGCAAATCCAGCACCGTGCCGAGTGCCGCGGCAGTGCCGGATGCCCTCGCCCACAGCGTGGTGCGTCCCCTCCTGGGGGACCCTGGTCCCCCCAGCTCCCTGTGCCCAGCAGCACTTGCAGACAGAGGGGACAGAGAGCTGCCCAGGAGCCCAGACTCTTGCCGGGGA